GTTGTTTCAAAGCTGTTGTAGCAAACACTGTGGATGGTGGCTTAAAGCCCCCCTCCGCTACGCGCCGTTCGTTAGATGAGGCTGGTTATATTTAATAAAGAAGAAATTCAAAACACCGGAATAAAGGTTATAACAATAATCTGATTTTACTGGTAAGAAACAAAACACGTATACAAGTTTACAGAGTACTCCGGACTTCAGGTTTCCACTGCCGTGCGATACAGGTATCGGGACCAGGCAGTCAGAAAACAGGAAGCATTTTACATGAATAAACAACAGTATTCATATCCATATTTTGGGGCAGAGATGTGTTGACTTCTTCCTTCGCATTTTACTCCGAAGCGAATCAGAGAGTCCGTGGGGAGGAGCTGTGTGAGCTGCTCACTCCCCCAGGTGTTTTTACTGGTTGGATTCACTTCTGGTCAGGTCCAATACAGCGAATCAGAGTTCTGAGAAAAAATATGTTTTCTTCTGAGCAGAGCGTGAGATTCGGAAGTACACAAGGACAGAGTCAATCTTATCTCTGCACCTATATTCACTCCTTTACTTTCCCAAGGAATATTTCACACAAACTATTCTTTCCCAGACAACCAAACATTGTACACAGATATATTGATGCCCAGAAAGAACCTTGAAAAGAATATGTGTGTGTACTGGTGGGAGGAGGTGTATGTGTGTGTAACAGGATCTCTGGGTCAGTGAGTTGTAAGTGAGAAGACAATATATATGGGATTACTTAAAACAGTTCAAACAATACATGTTCACTAAAATACAATTCAAAATAATACATGTTTACTTCAATACAGTTTAGAACCATATCTGTTTACTTTAATCCCTCTTTTGATCTCACCTCACGAGATCAACATATACACAGCATTTGAAACATAACCACTGTCATTCTTTTCTACTGTGTCTGTCCCAACATTTATATAAATCCATCAGAAGCTGGGATTTAGAGCACTTTAAACCTTTAGGAACAGTCCACCATAACAACTTCTTATGACAGTGGAGGGAGACCAAAATATGTTTTAAAAAGTTCGTCCTTGTCGGCTGAGTCATCGTACTCTTCCCCCTCCGACGCGTAAGCCAACAAGGGCATTTGGTACGAAGGGGAAGGGGCAGCTTTTCCCTCAATGGTGGAACTGATGAGTCTAACACACAATGAGCGGATACAAGGCACACAACAACAACCACATGTCACTAAAATGGCAATAAAAGTAGCCACAGAAATTAGAAGACTGTTGGGGTGAGGCAGACATATTTAGCGAGACCTGAGTATGATTTGTCAGAGTTGGAACATGGGGCGATTGCGCACAAGTCTATGTCCACTATTCCGTCGCTACCTTCTTGGAGAGTGAAGGTTCTTTTTGGGGACATAAGGCTCGCTACTCTAGTCCCTCTTTTGGTCCTTACTATCTCTTCCTCTGGGGCGGGAGTTGGAGAAAGCACATAATTAGTTTTACAGACAATGAAAATTATCGTTACCATAATGGTAAGTAGGAGGCCCAGGCCTGCTACCATTCTCCAGTGCCCGTACATAATTATGCTGTTAGCTCCAATTCTTCTGGTATCTTTAAACCGTATATTACCAATGGTCAATGCGATCGTACCTTGGTTCCCCAGAATACAAAACCCTCTTGAGTACGAGGAGTATTTAAATAGACATCTACCCTCGTCCAGATGTTGAGTAATGATAAAAGGGCCTATTTGGAAAGTAAAACAGGAGTTACTCCCAACTTGGTTAGTGATTGATTTTAAGCGATAGGTTTTTAATGGTAAATGCGGGTCCCCACATATATCAGTAGTCTTCCACCAACTGATCCAAGTTAGCAGGGGTGAGGGAGCTACCCGGGTTTTATTATCTATCTCACGGAGGTTTTCTAAGCGCCTCTGAAAGGTACTCGTGTTGCTCGGAGTCTGAAGAGAGATTCCTGTGTCTGCCCCAAAAGAACCCTTCAACATTTCCTGGAACCTTTAACACATAGTTCTGTAGAATAAAAATAAACAAATCCCTTAAACAATGGGCAAAAAATATACAAATCCCTTAAATAATGGGATATAAAAGCAAAGTTCAAAGTTCCTCAAAAAATGGATTGTTAAAACAAAGTTCCACACCGGCTATATCAACCTGTTTCAGCGGGAAGTGGAGTTCCCTGTGCCGTCTTGGTTTGCCGTGTCTTTGTCCCCCCAGCCCGCTGACGGCGGCTTCTGGGCTGCCTGCTAGAGAGATGTCTTCCGGATTCTCCTCCTCCGGTCCGCTGATGGCGGCTTCCGGGTCGATGCTGGAGAGATGTCCCGATCCTCCTCCTCCGGTCCGCTGATGGCGCCTCCTGGGTCGACTGCTGGAGAGATGTCCTCCCGATCCTCCTCCTCCGGCCCGCTGATGGCGGCTTCCGGGTCGATGCTGGAGAGATGTCCCGATCCTCCTCCTCCGGTCCGCTGATGGCGGCTTCCGGGTCGATGCTGGAGAGATGTCTTCCCGATCCTCCTCCTCCGGTCCGCTGATGGCGCCTCCTGGGTCGACTTCCTTGACGAGGGCCAGATCTGTCCTGATGTCGTCTAGGGTCCTCGCAGGTGTTTCCCGACCGCACACTGGCTCCAGTGGTACCAGTTGTCTCCCTTTCCTTCTAGGCGGACGGCATGGGAGGTCCTTTGGGTCACTCGGTAGGGGCCGGAAAACCTGGGGTTGAGCCACTTAGGCCTGATGACTTTCAGCCAGACGAACTCTGCTGTGTTGGCCTCGTGTTTCTCGGGTCCCCCTTTGGCGTCAGCAACCTGTGTGGAGAAGTCTCATCCCAAGCCCTTAAGTTGCTGGAAATATGGTTTTGAACTCATCTCTTCTACTTCTTTAGTGTTTATTGGCGGTTGGCAAACCAACTTGTAGGTGCATTACCGCCACCAACTAGACTGGAGTGTGGACAAGAGACTATGCAGAAAACAATAAACAAAAGAAATAAAACAAAACAAAACAAAAAACAAACAAACAAACAAAACAAAACAAAAAAGAACCAAAACTAGATTATTTTAAATGTATCAATTTCTCTTAAAAACGTAATAATCTCACATACATATTGCCTGATGTTTTTTCCTAACAGTCCTGATAGCGACAAGTCATGGAATTTTGCTTTCTTCAGTGTCTGGAAAAGCACATCTCTTTGAGTACTATATTTCTTGCAAAGCAGTAAAGAGCCTGCTTCCTGTGCTTCTTTAAGAGTGTCATCTGTTACGGCGGGCAGCAAGTCAGTGGACTTCATGACGAGCATTTGGAACTGTCAACTCTGTCCAGTGTGATACTTATGTACATCAGTATTGACCTATATCCCCCCTTTTTCTGAAATAGAATGCCGTTAACGGTGTTCTCATTTTCAGAAATATCGAGCCTTGTATATCAGTTATTAAATATCAGTTATATATTATATATTATTATTACTTATATATCAGTCATTAAATATCAGCTTTCTTCCGGTCCCCCAGTTTGATCCCACTAACGATCAATCTCTCTGTCTGCCCCCACTGTTCTTCTCGTTCAAATTCTAAATATAATATAATATACAATATGTCCAGCAGATGGAGCCAAACCTTAATTTATCATTAGTCTCTGTTTGTTTTGTGCCACACCCTGTTGGCCACCAGATGGTAGCACCTGATCAGGAATGAGCTTCACTTCAGCCACAAATACTTGAGACTCCCTTTTTTTTGATTCCACTGAAAATCAATCTCTCAGTCTGTTCCCATTGCTCGCGGAAGCTTCCGGAAATTGGAACGCCTAAATCACTATTTTCAAACTCTCCTTCCATGATTGACTTAGTTTCTATTATCTGACTAGGTTGATATGTGTTCGCTTGTATTTAGTTAATATACTGGACAATTCTTGTCTTAACTCTTAACGTCCTTATTGTATTTATTGGAATGCCCTGTCCGAAATGTAAAGTTGTCCAGCGTGAAGCAATGCAGAATATTGTTACACA